TGTTGATATATAGCTGAAAAATCATAATCTTACAAATGCTATGTTTTGATACTTCCAGAGTAACCACACTACTGAAAACCCCAGTTCTTCATACAAGAAGCTGGCAAAGTCACAAGGAAGAAGAGCATTGTTTTCTGATTAATGTGCCGGAGTTACAGAACTATCCTAGTAACAGTATACTGCCATTGCTTCATGCAAACTTTTTAACTTTTTTATTTTTTAAACCATTTTTATCTGGTGTAAAAGTGACCATGCCCATGAGAGTCATACCTTGTTTTGTACATTAGGTAAAAATGTTGTTTCGGCGTAAGCTACCTCACTCTCGTCTGTCTGAACGGCTTCAGCTGCATGTGCAGGTGGGTCAAAACAATTCACTAAAGTCAAGAATTAAAAAACAAAGTAATAAAATCATTAATAGCAATCATTAAAACATGAATGCACATATGCTTGTTGCATTAGCTTACGATGAGACCGGCCTTTTGGCTTTGGTTTTCTGTTTTTCCTGTGAAGACAGCACATCACAATTGCGATCACAGCCAGAACTACTGCAGAACAACTGCAGATTATTGCAATCGACCATGAACTGCAATCTGAAATTGAAAGAGGAAAAACAATCATGAACATTCACCTGTGCCTTTAAAGAAGAAAAATAAATACTGTTTGTGGAAGAGCAATGATATGAAGGCAGAAAAGGAATTTAAATGTTTTTTTGAAACTTAAATCCATTGTACAGAATACCCTTTAAATCATTTTTTATTTTTACTTCCAGTATATATATATGTGCAGGCATGCCTTCATTTTTATCTTGCACTACTATACAGAAAGCAACAACTGTAGGTTGTTGGTATAATTGTCAAAAATGGTCCGAAATAAGTACCGATTATATATAAAAGTAGTGAGTATATAAAACAAATTGATAACATGGAACACCTTGAAAGTATTTTAACTCAATCTGAAATACCACCACCTGCATATTGTGAGATTTAAACTATAAATGGTATTTAGTGAAGCTATTTAGCTTAGTTAAAATATAATTAACAAACCTTGATGTGGTCATACCTTGACAGAGTCCACTGATGTCCAGATGTTGAGTCTGGTTGCTGATGGGATTGTTGAGCACACAGCTGTAGGTGTTTTTATCCTGATATTCCACCTCCAGAGGTAGAGAGAGACTGATGCTGAGATCAGACACACTGATGCTGGACAATAAACTGTTTCCTTTGTACCAGGAGAGAGTCACATGACCCACATTCACCACTGAACACAACAACGGACATGTGGACACTGAGGATCTTTCAGATGATGGACAGTTTAAAGAGCTACCACTGATGACAGGAACAGGAAGACGAGCTGGAAAACATGTAAATTAAATAAGCATATTGTTGTAATGTGGGCAAACACTGACATGAGGGAAAGCAGGATCCAAATGCAGATTAAGTGGAACAATAATCAAAATATCCAACATGGAAACCAGAAGTGAGCTACACAACATTACCACCACGGATGGACAAGAACCAACTAAACACAAGAGTAACACAAAGGGTAAATTACCTACAAGACACAGGTGCACATAATTTGCTAATGACAAAGAGAAACAGGAACTGAACCAAATACAAACTAAGAGTCAACATAATAGTCCACATTACAAAACAAAAACACAAAGACAGAATACATAACTGTACAGAAAATAAAGGCTGCATTACATTTTAGGGGTTATAGTTTGCTGGCTTAAAATAAAAAGTAGATTGGAAATACATTTAAGTTTTTAGTGTTGTTAAAGTCACTACTGCCAGATCAATAATAAGCTTCACAACCATTTATACATATTTTAAGATGTTTTTAAGTCATATTTGTCTCACCATAGACAGTAACATTGAATGTCTCGTCCGAGTTCCCTCTGTTGCTGCGGATCTGTAGTTTATAAAGTCCAGAGTCTGTGCTTCGGATGTTTCTGATGATCAGAGATCCAGTGAAAGAGTCCAACTGCAGTCTGTCTCCAAATGTCTCATTACTGTTAAACATATCAATCGTATGTTTATAGAGTTCAGCTATTCGAGTCTCTTTAGGTCCAAACATCCACAGTATCTGATCATCTCTCTGTACTTCAGTAACATCAGTGTGTAGAGTGACAGAATCTCCCTCAGTTACGGACACTGACTTCATTACACCTGTATCACCAAACACACCTGAAACACATTCAGAAACAGTTTTCCCAGAATAATTGTAATGAAGGAGGTTTACAAATAGAAGGAGCCATTTAGAATTTACTAATATTAATAGTACTACTAATAATACTAATAATTCAAAATGATACTGTATTTTTTTTCATTAGAATTACAGGAGCAAAACTATATTTTACAATTCCATGTAGGCTATATGTAAATAAATTATATAATGTTAACATACCAACCTATTTGGATTTTTTTTCAGGGTACAGACTTAACACACTAAGCATGAACTAAATAACATAAAATGCAACATAAAACACTTATATGAACATGACTGATAAAAAAAGAAAGAAACTAAATAAATCTGCGGAGTTCCCTTTGCCCCATAACCAATATTGTTTACGTAATGTATTTTTTTTTATCATACTGTATATTGTAAGGTAACATTATAGCCAACCAACCATTTATTTTTCTGTTCAAATTACTTTAATTTAATTTTTATAGTATACTATTCTTAACTTCTGAAGAAATTAACCTATTTTTTAAAATAGTTTTATTCAGTTTCCTATGATTATACACTGGCAAATACAACTAAAAAACAATTACAAAACAAAAAAAGCCACTGGATACTGCAGAATATGCAAAGTCGACTGTACTTATTGGGAATGTTGATTGGTATTTATAATACATGGTTATAATTATGTTTAGTGGTAATTAATTGTGTCAATTAAAGCTACCCTCGTGGAGATTACTACTTTCTTTGTGATCCTGTTAACGTTAGATAGCCTATACGTATGTGCGCGACAAAGAATGTTGCGCTCTTAGTTTCTATAGAAAGATTGCCAATGACTGATCCAACATTTGGGCGCAACTTCCATCAAAGCTAATTTACTACGTTATGCATGTTGTTTGTTTGGGAGGCAAGCCTACTGACTTATCCCATATCTGATAAACGCACAGAAATTCGCACATGTTTTTGGTCACAATCTATAACGTTATGTGTAATAGGTGCAGACAGAGGATGATGCAGCGGAGAATAAGCGAATAAATATCATATTTCTGTTTTAAACCCAACAGACTAAAGTTAAAACACTTACCATCCATGACCAAGAGGAAGAGACATAAAAACGTTGTTTTACTAATAATAGTCCTCATTTTGTCCTGAAGATAATTGAATTCCACATGATGTGTTTTACGAGAACCGTCAAGTGTCCCGTGGACGGATCTAACGCATTCAAACCGACCAGCGACTACACATTTAATCAAATCGATAATTAAGAAAACTTTCTTCACGAACCTACAAATTAAAAAGAAAAAAAAGTTTCACATGCAGTGCGTTTGAGGCGACCTTACTGTTTTTAGTCCCGCCCTTGACTATTACTGAGTGAAGTAGTTTTCTGGTACATTATACACTCTAAAAAATGCTGGGTTGTTTCAACCCAATGTTGGGTCAGATATGGACTAACCCAACTGTTGGGTTAAATTTTGGTTACATTTTAAAATGAGCTTTTTAACCCAACAGTTGGGTTAGTCCATATTTGACCCAACATTGGGTTGAAACAACCCAGCATTTTTTCAAATGTGATAGGCTACTGTGTATTTTGTACCGTCTTTTTTTGCAATTTGAATATGATTAACGTCTTAAGATTTAGTTCATTCTGTTTTTTAACTGGAAAATGGTTTCTGTGTTTTGGAATAAAGATGGTTGGAGGCAGGTCCAAGCTTGTAGATAATCTTGGACCAGCAAGAAACCAGCTACACTCTTAAAAATAAAGGTGCTTCAAAAGGTTCTTCAAGCGATGCCATAGATAGAAGAACCATTTTTGGTTCCACAACGAACCATTCAGTCAAAGGTTATTTAAAGAAACATCTCTTTTATACCTTTTTATAATCTGAAGAACTTTCTTTCGCCGCAAAGGACCTTTTGTGAAACAAAAAGGTTCTTCAGATGTTAAAGGTTCTTTATGGAACCATTTAGACAAAAAGGTTCTTCTATGGCATCGTGAAGCACCTTTATTTTTAAGAGTGTGGTCATACAAGCTTAGGTTGTCAAAACTGTTTTTTGGAACATATTGGTATGATTGTGTTGCACATAACATAACGCACTTTTGAAATTTTAGTATTGGCCTCTCCTAGAGCTTTTGTTAACATGTATAAGTAAGTATTAAGATCAGGCCATCAGAAACACCTCATCCACCTACACCTTGCACCGGTACCGCATATGCACACACCACCACGCATCCATCTCTCAAACTCACTGTGCACATGTTGCACATTCCACTGGTACAAACCACACTTCGATACACAACTTGGAGGTACAATACCCTGACCTAGATTTATAATAACAATACATTTATTGAGATGGCTAAACTAATTGCACATACACAATAACAATTCTTTGAAGCATTTGCTTAATTTATTGGACTTTATTTGCTAACTCTACTAAACGTAATTCATACACATTTGTAGTTAAACCCTGCAGTGCAATGCAAAGTCTACAATCTGAATGATAAACCATGTTACAGTCTAATCATCACTGTGGTTTTCAGCTTTTCTCTTCTCTGAACCCAAAGCCCCTTCCTCATCTTTTTCACTCTTCTACAAAAACCCAAAGCAAACTGAGGCCTCTGATCTGACTCAACCATCTGAGATCAATACATTTTTGTGATGTTTGCAAGAAAAAAAAAAATGCAGAAGTTCTCACAGTTCAGGTCTAAAAGTCCCCATCAGTGCAGCGCAACTCGCATCAGATTGTTGATTCTGATAAATATTAAAACAATAAAAACAGTGTACAAAAATTATCAGATTAGCACAATCATAAGCTTAATTAGGTCACTCGGGCTGAAGCGCCTGCCATGAGACCGTCTGTTGCATCACCTTCCTGTTGAGATACAGCAAAGATCAAAGAGGTCAAAACCAAAATGCAGTGTGCATGCAGTTGGTTTTTTTTCACACGAACTAGTCACCCTTATGGGTAAGCGTCAACTTTCGGCATTTACAGTCACCAACGTTGTGATTGTATAAAACAAAATGTTTGTAGATAGTATATTAAAATGCACATTAAGTTATTTAAATAAATTTATTCACCAGAATTTTTATATTATTTGTAACAAACTGCTTAGTTTCGTCAAGTAGAGTGCAGAGTGTAGTTTGACTGTTGGATGAAAGACTAGAATGCCAGGTCAAAGAAGTAAATTACTTCTAAATGTCCTCAAATGTCGATTTTACCATAAAGTAAGTGAGAATCTGCTTGATTATCTGACATGACATTATGGTGCCACAAGAAAGTTTATAAGTTGGAGTTTAATGTCATCCCACATCAGTGTTTCCAAAAGAAATGAAGGAAATGGTTCCATTGCTACCACTGATATCAGGAAAAGTAGTTTGGGCAGTTAGGATGTAGTTTAAAGATAGAGCTGTATATTGTAAACATGTTGCCCCAACAAAGCGTTTTAGAACCAGTTCTAAATAACACTGGTGTAATTTGGGCATAAAGTCCCAAATTATTGTCCCTATTACTGCTTTTTTTAATAATTAAGTATATTCCTTTTACAGACAAGATGCTAATAGATGTCACAGACTGATCTAAAACTTAATTTCATAAAACCCTCAGTTCACACTTTGGGTTCTGGTAGGCCACCATTTCCTGTAGATCAGAGATAGTTTTTTTCCCCGCGGTCCCATTAGATCTACACTAAGCAGTAATTTCATGTTTATGTATTAAAATCCAATCGATTGATCAACAGTTGTTGTAGGATTTGATCTTTTGTCTTATAAAATGTCCCCTGTTTTCATTCGTTCCATGTTTTGTAGTCATCATTATGTTTAAGACTGACCAAACCTGCTTGTATCTCCAAACAGACAGTAAAGGGAAAGGGCTTCAGTATTTTGACTACCTTATTGGTCGAGTCGGTTGCCAAGTTACCACTCCCAGATGGTCGATGTTATCTGATATGTGTGCCAACTGTCTTCTCTTTGCATACAGTGTGATATATCAGCATCACACAAAACACAAAGGACAGGGAATTTTGCATTCTGTGTGACATGGACAACAGAACCTTAGTGTCCCCCAGTGCTTACACACTCATTTCCTATTTCTAATGATAAACCTTCATCAGTAACTGAGAGCATCCATTACACTCAGAGGATGTTGGCCTGGTTAATGGCAGTCTAAGGGAGGAGCCCAGTGTTTATACTGTAACTTGATCGGTTTCCAGTAAGTGCTGTCTGATTAACATGTTTACAATTGGTAGGGTTTAGTTTGAGGAGCTTCAAAGTAGGAAAGTTTTGTACATAAAAAGTGGGATTCCCTCATGATTCCAATGTTCAGTACCATTGTGGTTTATCAAGATACACCATTGTGTAAGCAGATTATGTAATGGTGGAGGGCTATAGTGTTCAAATTTTGCTTATAAATCATAAATCAGCTACTCATTTTAATACCTCCTACTTTCCTTTCAGATGCTCCACTTCCATTTTACAATGGTTCTGTCTGTTAGAGATAATATTCATACTGCTCAATAAAAATGAAACAAAATATTAGGCAAACATGTGAGGTACTTCAAGTGTAATACGTCATGATGTAAGTGCGTAACGTAAAACAACAATACACTGGGGGAGCTGCAAATCTGTAATTGTGCATCAATACAAGTTTTGTATTTTTATCTCAGTCTGTGACTGTTTCACTTACCAAACCGCATCCTGTGTCAGAAGTCTCAAGACAGACCATGTGAAGCATCAGAGTTATTTAAAAAGACATAACTTCCTGTGACAATGAAGTACAGTCTACCATGTTTGTCCTTTCCTCTACAAATATTGACATCAGGTCTCTGTTCAAAGAAAACGCACATAACCTACAACTGTGGGAACAATACAGTATGGTTAAACACACAGCCACGATTCCTAGCAAAGACATCTGAAAAAGGATCAGCAAAAGTATCAATCGTTTTCTTTCAGTACCCTGCCTCTCCCTCCCAGTCTTCTGCGCAATGATTAAATTTAAGTTAAGTCTGTAAAACCTAAATTTTGCTACTGTATTTTTTACAGTGGAGTTCTGGCAACCACAGCTGCCGGTATTTTACAGTAAATGTCACAGATTTTTTTTGACAGTGTATTCTTCGCCCAAAAATCCAGAATAATTAAACTCCACTTTTGCTTCATTCATATTTGGGCCAACGCGGAAATAAAATCAACTAATAAGCTGAAACTAAGGAACTAAGGACAAAACAAAATTTGTATGACTGACCTCATTGCACATGGCCTCTAGTTATATCTTGCTTGTACGTTTAAATCAAATATTTTATTTATTTAAGTGGAATGAAGCCAAATTGGCAATGCTCATAGGCTTCAGCATGTCCGTGACCCTATGTTTGGAAAATGGATGCATGAAATGCTGAAAGGAAAAAAACAAGAAGAACAACTTCAAAATGAATTCACACGAAATCACCACCTAGTAAAATAGTTATGTTTTTTTCATCAGATCATGAGGTTTTTGCAGCCTGGGGTGAGGCAGACTAACATATAATGAATTAATATGCTAATTAAATCATATGGATCTTATCATCTATGTCTGTGATATTTTATTTATTTAAAACTAAACACTGAAACATCAGAAAAAACCTGTTGTAAATATTGCATACGTTTCTTTTTCTTTCATTTTTATGCATTCATTTTATTTAACTCCTGAAAAGTGCTGTAGGGGGCAGCATTTACATATTATACAAGTGCAGAGGAATTCTTTAATCTCAATGTAAATTAATTGAAATCCAAACCTGCATTTTGAAAAACAGAATGTCAAGTTAAAATAGTATAGGCTCCAGAAATATCCAAAATCCAAAACAGAGTCTTTATGAAAATCCATTTTGAATTTATGTGTGATTCATACAAGAAAAATATGTTTTAGTCTGAGTTAAAGTTATACAGTTCATAGTCATGAATCTGCAAATGGGATTCAGGATGTCATGGGAAAAGACAAGCACATCAATTACAAATCCTATATGTATAGATAATTATCCTACTATTATAATCCTTTATATAGATTATTGTGATGTTTTTTTTAAATTAGTTGTTACAGAATTATCATAACGTGTGATTTAAATGTTTATCTCCATAA